TTTCTAGTTGCCATTCACAAGGCCATGCCGGCTTCATATGGGACTAGTGACAACGACACATTGGCGGCTCGTTCTGGTAGGGGCAATGGTCATTTAGTGGTCCAGGGATCTCAATGTAATTTTTATTATGTTATGGGTGCTTTTTACTTATGGTGAACCTTAATAATAGATTTGAACCCTTCTAAAAAGTACATATATTACAATAACTATAGAATAGTGATTACAGTTACGTCTTTAAGGCTATTTAAATGCCCCCAAACATGTGAAGCTCTTGCGAATTAGACCCGGATACATGGCCAAGAGGAAAATTTTGAATGTAACCGAGAAACTATCCAATAATTCCACACATGCACCCTTTGAAACATCTAAAAATTGCTAGAAATTTTGAAATAATTCATAACACGAATACTACATGTATATATCATGTTGCAAATTATAAGGGCAAAAGGGTAGGTCAACTTGGATTTGAATTTATGGTGAGATGATTAATACATATTGGGTCTATGCCATCAAATATTCATGGTTTTATGGTGAATTTACGATGATGTTTCCAACTTTAGGAGCACGTGGAGACCGCATTCTTAGAATAGAGGATACAACCTTATTGGGAATGTCTAATGTGGTGCAATTAAACATTTTTGTTTGTGGCACTCAAGAAACTCCAAAAGAATTGTCTATGCTCTACCAATAAATTAATACAAATTTTACCATATATGAATGTATTGTAAATTATATGTAGTATAATTGAATATTTTTTCCTTTAAAACCTAAACAACCCTCAACTTAATTATTGTGAGGCTTTCACCATCAAAGATACAATGTCACCTACAATTTTGCCAGTCCGATGTGACTACCCCAGTGACATAAACTAAGATTAACTAGTTTATGAACTACTATTTAGCACTGTTTAACATTCGCATCATAGATTTCATCAGACTAAAGATCCTAAAGTATTGGGTATTTGTTGCCTTATGGAAATTTCTGATATAAAACTTTATAACACGATTTAGCATATTCAACAATAATAGTTCCATGCATTACCAGATTTAAGGATTGAGAGAGATTTGAAAATTGTTGTCATGTTCAATTTATGTACACTTGACAGTCAAACAAGTTTAATTTATATGTGCATGGGTTTGTTGCAACCAATTTGACGTCAAAAGAGGGTTTTAACTTACATGTTCGTGCCACAAAATAAAAAGATGACTTGGAGGATGTATTGTAGAATGCAAACTCAGAACCCAAATCTCAACACTAAACCCTAAATGAAACCACATAAATCAACCAACACGGGAATTAATAGCCCTTAAGCATTTTAAACTACTTCATTGTTTGTTATTTATTTAACTAGACGCATGAATGAGTTCAACCATGAGGTCTAAGCATAATACTCTAATAATGCGACAAAGAAAATTATTATTTGCATTCGACATCGTGTAGAATCTCCATTGCGGGATTCAAACCTAACCATTCAAGGAGAAGCAGTGGGAATGTCACAACCTATGATCCCATAGGATTTTATTGAAAAGAATCCTAACACTTCATTGGGTGGGAAGGTGGAACAAACCAAAAAAAATATCTTGTTCTTGAGAAATGGCCGGGTCTGGCCCGTTCCACAAAAGATGTTTTTACAGGATCCCTATCCACAACAAATTTTACTTTTGGTTCTGGCAAGCATTTCGGAAAAGCAAGTCATGAATACGATGGCGATGCAGCAACGATACACATTCCCGCAAGGGGCCGTGAAATTAGGGGGAAGAGATATTTCTTATTCTAAGACAAATTACTATATCATAAGAAGTTTACCATTATGAGATGGCACTTGAGAGAGAACTTTAATCATACAAGCAATGCGGATTAATATAGAGATGCGAACCAATATTGTTTTCCTTGTGGGATATGAAGTAGTCGTCTTTTGCGCAAGGCCTCGTGTCAAAAAACTTTCAACCATGTCCTACTACCTCGCCCATTTGTAGAGACCAACAGGTAAAAGGAGTTTTTGTTTCCTCTCATCGAGATAGAGGGAGGCAAAAGAGGGATTTTTGTCGGTTGTGTCTCACGGCATTCTGAACCTGGCTCACGTACTGCATTAATGGGCAAATAGCCCAACCCTTGGAACCACCTACGGCTTCAAGTAGCAAAGAGCCGACATTGAGTTGCCAAACCTTTCCGTCGGTGTGGACTCTTGGGGAAGGTCAGCCTGTTATCCCTAAAGTAACTTCTATCCGTTGAGCGGCGACCCTTCCTACTCGTTCCTTTAGCTCCCACCACTGTCTTATGCAGCAAATAACCACCTAGGGAGTAGAAGTTCCTTATTCTTTTCTGTCCTTTTTGCTCTTTTGATGAAAACTCTTGTTTCACTCTCGCTCGCCGCTACAAACGGGGTCTTAGTTGATTTTCCTTCCTTTAGCTATTAGATGTGAATATAGTGAGTGTTCAACAAAGTATGCTAGCCATTGGCCTTATGTTCAGGATACTCCTTTCTATCCTTCCAATGTTTGGTTATAAGAGAATGTTGCTCTCCAAAAAAATACCAATCTCTATCTGAATGACCAAACAAATACCTGCTAATGAACCGAACCCCCACCAATAACTAAGATTGCTAGGGGTTGGATAATCTATCAAATGCTGGTTAAGAGTGGGGATTATAGATTAGCTCAGTACAGGTAGTTACTTGATTGATCTAAGATGAAAAGGAGTCCAATTTTATTTTATTTTTGCAATTTCCATTATGTGCTTCACCTAGTGTTCAGACCAAAAATGCATCCATCCCACACTAAGTCATGAAATTCTCTGGAGAGACCGTTTTGTCTTTTGTGCCGAAGCTGTTTATAAATCACATGCCGGAAATACTAGAATACCTCGACTACCTAACTCTTTCATTTCTTGAGTAACAAACGTAGAGGCAGAAGAATGCCTTCTCGAGTCAAAAGAGTGCATTATATATTACGGCATTATTATATTCATAGAAAGGAGATGAAATGAGAAATATTTGCCATTCAATTTGATTAGAATATCATAAAGTATAAGTGGCAGAATTTTTTGTAGGAATGTTTTATCAATTCATCTGTACCCCTGGCAAACTCGAATTTTCATCAAAATGGTCCCGATATACAAATGTATGAAATGCATATATGAAATTCATATGTGGAGTTCCCTAGAATTTCATGTGATTCAGTAAACAAAATATAGATTCCATGATTGCTAGACCGATCCATAGGGATTGATAAAGAGTGAGGATCAATACTTACGTTGACATCGATCTCACATGTAACGCATGGATGTCTCGGATACAACTGAAGTTTAAATAACTGTACCACTCACCTTTTTCAATACTTTGATCATTTTGTTTGAATTTGTCGGTACATACCTTCAATAGCTATTTGTACATATATTAAAATATTTATAGAGTAGTGGTTGCTGTTACATCTTTAAACCCATGAAAATGCCCAAAAATGTGATGCTCTTATGAACTAGAGTGAGATACATATTGGCCAAGAACAAAATTATAAATATAATCAATAAATTATCATGTACTTCCACTTGTGGAGTACTCCAAGTGCACCTTAGTGTTTTGACACATGTCAAAATTGCTATTTTTGGAAACAATTCAAAGCATTAATGTATACTATCTATCTATCTTGTCACAAATTCTGATGACAAAAGGGTAATTCAACTTTGATTTGAATTTTGGTTGTCACGATTGATACATATTGTATCTATGCTGGCAAATTATGTTACATTTTTTCATGAATTTTTATGATAAGGTTTTAAATTTAGGAGCAAAGGGGAGCACCACACACGTGGAATAGATATACAACTCAATAGGAAATGTTTAATGTAGCACAATTACATGTTATTTATGGCACCCAAGAAGCTCCAAACAAGATCTTTGTAGCAATACTAGTACATTAATACAAAAATCTCACCTTATAGCACAACTAAACATTTTGTTTATGGCACCCAAGGAATTCAAAACAAAGATCTTCGTAGTAATACTAGTATACTGATACAAAAATCTCAATGTATATCGCCGAGAGTGAATTACACACTCTGCTTGCATGGAATAGAAGGTACAAAGTCATCACAAAATGTTTAACGTATAACACAATTAAACATTTTGCTTATGGCACCCAAGGATCTCCAAACAATATCTTCGTAGTAATACCAGTACATTAATACAAAAATCACGTCATATATCGCCGAGAGTTTAAATACACACGCACTGATTGCATGCAATAGAGGATACAAACTCAATACGAAATGCTTAATATAGCACAATTAACACAAACAAGATATCTTCGTATTGATACCAGTACATTAATACAAAAAATCCCAGCGTATATCGCCGAGTGAAAATACACACACACACCACTGCTCCCCCCATCTCTCCTCTCTGACTCTACCCCTTCTTTCTTTCTTTCTCTCCCCTAGCAATTGCACTACGCCTTCCTCTTCTCAATAAATGCGATTGCACCGTCTCAACACTCTCCGGCAATAACTCCTCCTTCCTCCTCCACCATCCGCTCCACATTCCTCTCCCCCTTTCTTCCTCCTCCATCCTCCCCCCTCCATGGCCGCCCAGCTCGTCGTCCCCTTCCTCTAGATCTCTCTCCGTCGTCTCGCTGCCCCTCCTGAGCTCGCCGAACTTTGTCTCACGCAGCGCAACTCCTTCTAGACACAAGCCACGGGGAGGGATCGGAGCTGCAAACATATATAGACACATACGATTCTCATCTTAGATCTCTCTCTGCCAAGTTCCTCCGGGCTGCCTCCTTCTACTAGATCTGCTGCTGCTCGTGCTGTTGCGTGGCAAGCAAGATATATATACCCCTCTCTCCATATATAGGACTGTACTAGCACTATCTTTGTTGGAGGGGAAAGGGAGAGAGAGAGAGAGAGATGCAGATGTGTATGTGAGGAAATGGAAGGTGCGGGAAGCAGGAGCCGAGCGCTAGGGTTTCGGTGTTAGACAGGCTAGCAGCAAGGTAGAGAGTACCATGATGATCCCGGCGAGGCACATGCCGTCGTCGATGATCGGCCGGAGCAGCGGCGGCGCGCCCTACGGATCCTCATCAGCACTGTCGCTGGGCCAGGTATTACGTTTTGTATATCTCCAGAAAGTTCAATTTCGAGCTGAAAGAAATCTTGAGATTGGCTTAATTTTGCGTGTATTGCTTCCATTTCCGTTCTCTTCCTTTTGGAAAGAAAGATCACTGCCTCGCAGGAGTCATTGCTGTTGGTGTTGCCTTTAATTTCTGCGTGATTACAACTCTCTTGTTTTGACTTGCATGTACTCATCTGATCCTTAATGATTTGCTCCTTTAATTTCTCCTTTGTTTCTATTTGCAAGTACTGATGCCGTCTGATTTGCTTCTTTAAATTCCCCTTGCTTTGATTTGCATATTTTGCCACTTTTTGTAGAGATGGAAGAGACATGTACTCCTTGATTTGCATATAGGAGTACCGATCCGTCTCAAAATAATTTGTACTTTACCACTGGCTTTTTTCCCTTGGGAAGAGGAGAGAGAAGGAGGGGGGTTACCTCCGGGTACTTAGGCGCGGCTGCTGTTCACACATAGATTAGGTCACCAGAGCTCAGGGCACACGAGCCCCCTTTCTTTAAGACCCGCTACTATATAAACGGAGCAGATAAAGAAGACTACTGCAGCTATAGGTTGGGGGGCTAGAGAGAGGGGGGGAGACTTCACTCTCCTCAGTTCTTGATCTTGCACACATCCAGAGGGGAGGGGAGGGGAGTGGAGAATAGTGCTTGCTTCCACAGGTTTGCTGTTGCTTGCTTCCTTGTTCTTCCAAATCTATTGGTCTTTATGGCCAAACCTACCTTCTATTCTTCCTCTTCCTCCTCCCCCCTTTCTTTTTGCAATCTTGCTTTCACATCTCTGGGGAGGAAATGAGACATCAATAATCAAGGGAGAAATCAAAAGTTGCTTCACTTCTTCTCCCTCGATCCCTGATTTCTAGCTTAATTTTAGCTAGCTTTTCCATTCTGCCCCCCAAATTATTTGCCCGCACGAACACGTTTTTTTCCTCCCCAAACAGATTAGCATGAATTTTTGGATGGTTTTTACACGAAATTTTTCCGTTTCATCTTGGCCCTGAAACCTCTCCCCTTTCTCTGGCTACTAATTAATTAATACGCATACTTTCTCGCCTATATGCGGTGTACTGCGACTTGCTACTTCGTAATTGAATGGATTAATCGCTTCTATGTTTAGCGGCACACCACTGACCGACGACGGACCTAAACTTTGCTTCCTCTATAAATTGCAGCCAAACCTGCTGGACGGCAGCAACCAGCACCTCCTGCCGCACCACCTCCTGGAGCAGATCCCGGCGCGCGCGGCGGAGAGCGGCGACAACAACAACGGCAGCGTCGGCGGCGGCGTGGGCATGATCCGCGGGCGTGACTCCATAGACCCGCTGGGGGACGAGTTCGAGAGCCGGTCCGGCAGCGAGAACGTGGACGGCGACGCCGTGGACAACGCGGAGCAGGACCAGGACCCCAACCAGCGGCCGCGCAAGAAGCGCTACCACCGCCACACCCAGCACCAGATCCAGGAGATGGAAGCGTACGTATACCCAATCTCCTCCACATTTTGTTAATTACCACTGTGTATACTCTTCTAGTCCGTAATTGATTAGTCTCACTCACATCAAGCATGCTCATTCATATCTGGTACCACTCCTTAATTCGTGTTCAATTCCTTCTTGTTATCTTTCCTTGAATCTTCGCTTTGTTCTTGAATCGAGATTCATGGAAGCATACGTTGATATACACTCCCCAATCCTTAATCATGCTCATTAAATACATATGTATCTTGTACTTTTGGTTAATGATCTGTAGTCGGATTAGTGCTATACTTTTCTGTTCAATTCTTTCTTGTTGTTGTAATGTCCTGGATGGATGTTATCCATCCCTGCTTAAATAAATATGAATAAATTCTCACTTGTTCTAATTGCAATTAGATGGAAGTCTAGCTACTATACCAAGGAAAGAATACATACATACCAAATTTTGCTCATTCAAGCATCAATTCCCAATGAATGAATGATTCCCATTGTTCTAGAGATTTCAATTACTGCCAAATAATAATAGAGAAAAAACACATGAAACGCTTGTTGTTGGGTTCCCCGATGGATGTTTTCCGTTGTTCTAAAGATTTCAATTACTGCCAAAAAACTATATATAGAGAAAAAAACAAATTTCATGTTTGTTGTTGGGGAGGGGAGGTGGCCGAGGAGATTGGAGGGGAAGACGAGAAGAGAACAAAACAGTGTGGGTGGAACTGGATGGATGGATGTTCATACGAGACGCGCAAGTCAAATTGAGTCCTAGTAGTGTGGAGTGGACAAAGAGCGTACGTACGTACGCACCCCTACACGTTTCTAAGTTGACCGGGCCGGCCTGGGCCGAAAGCCGAGCGGGCAACCGTTTCTGTTGTCTTGCGCCCTTCCCCAAACGAACGGACGACGGGGGACGCAGCATTCATTCAAGGCCTACGTACGCGTTCACGGTTCACACTGCTGCTGCTGCTGGACTTTTTTTTATTTCCTCTGGCTTTTTGGCCGCAACAATTAAATCGGGGATGCGTGCATGGGTCGTGGAATTTTATATTAGTGACATGTTTTTCCGTTGCCGCATTGAAAATTGGGACGATGCATGATGTAATGCGCGTGTATCGATGTGTGTTTGTGCTTGTATATGCAGGTTCTTCAAGGAGTGCCCGCACCCTGACGACAAGCAGCGCAAGGAGCTGAGCCGGGAGCTCGGGCTGGAGCCGCTCCAGGTCAAGTTCTGGTTCCAGAACAAGAGGACCCAGATGAAGGTAATTTTTTTCACCCCTGACTAATTACTACATCCTCATCTAATTAATCACCATTGGAGATGAAAGTGGTGTCTTGCATTTCGGCTGTTGGGAAATTTGGTGGCGGCCGGCCAGCGTCGCAACCACCTCATTTAAGCCTCTGACCGGGGCAGCCAGCCATGCCGCTGCAGCACGCATTCATGGCCTGTTGCTATATCTGGACAGACTTCGCCCACACACTCCCATACACACACACACACACGCTGGCAGTCAGGTCATGCAGGCAGGCGGCAGCCCCGTCTCCGCGTCTGCGTGCACACTGCCCGACGCTCCCATAGTCAAACCCCACAAACTTTGCTGCCATGGCGCCTACGTGTACAGTGACCTGGCCTGCCCACTGCATGCACCGTCAGCCGCATGCACATTGCACTGTCAGCTCACCCCACCTGTAAATGCAACGTGTTATGGCTGTTAATCTGATGGCGTTGGCGGTGCTGACTGCTGATCATGGATGGGTGCAGAACCAGCACGAGAGGCACGAGAACTCGCAGCTGCGGGCGGACAACGACAAGCTGCGGGCCGAGAACATGCGCTACAAGGAGGCGCTCAGCAGCGCGTCCTGCCCCAACTGCGGCGGCCCGGCGGCGCTCGGCGAGATGTCGTTCGACGAGCACCACCTCCGCGTCGAGAACGCGCGCCTGCGCGACGAGATCGACCGCATCTCCGCCATCGCCGCCAAGTACGTCGGCAAGCCCATGGTGCCCTTCCCGGTGCTCTCCAGCCCGCTGGCCGCCGCCCCGGGGGCCTCCGCCTACGACGTCTTCGCCGGGGCCGCCTCCGTGCTGCAGGCGCCGCCCGACGACAAGCAGCAGGGCGTCGTGGTCGAGCTGGCTGTGGCTGCCATGGAGGAGCTGCTCCGCATGGCGCGCCTCGACGACCCGCTCTGGGCCACCACCGTGGACCAGGCGCTGGCGCTGGACGAGGAGGAGTATGCAAGGATGTTCATCGACCCGCGCGGCGGCCTTGGGCCGAAGCAGTATGGCCTCGTCTCCGAGGCCTCCCGCGACGCCGCCGTCGTCATCATGACCCCCGCCAGCCTCGTCGAGATCCTCATGGACGTCGTAAGTACTCAGCACTCATTGATCATTTCTACCTTTTTCCGATCATTCATCGTGCATTGCACTGATGTTCAGCTTCACTTTTGTGTGTGGAATTCATGCAGAACCAGTACGCGGCGGTGTTCTCGAGCATCGTGTCGAGGGCGGCGACCCTGGAGGTGCTGTCCACCGGCGTGGCTGGGTGCTACGACGGCGCGCTGCAGGTCATGTCGGTGGAGTTCCAGGTGCCGTCGCCGCTGGTGCCGACGAGGGAGAGCTACTTCGTGCGCTACTGCAAGCGCAATGCTGATGGGGCCTGGGCCGTCGTGGACGTGTCGCTGGACGGCCTACAGGGGGTCAAGTGCCGGCGCAGGCCCTCCGGCTGCCTCATCCAGGAGGCTCCCAACGGCTACTCCAAGGTGACTTGGGTGGAGCACGTGGAGGTGGACGACAGGTCCGTGCACAACATCTACAAGCCGCTGGTCGGCTCCGGCCTCGCCTTCGGCGCCCGCCGGTGGGTTGGCGTCCTCGGCCGCCAGTGCGAGCGCCTCGCCAGCGCCATGGCCAGCAACATCCCCACCAGCGACATCGGAGGTACGTCCTATGTCATACACATGCATAGTTCATCTGCTCGTGATCACTAGCAGATCACTGACAGAGGTGCTCCACGTCCATGTGTGCAGTGATCACTAGCTCGGAGGGGAGGAAGAGCATGCTGAAGCTAGCGGAGAGGATGGTGGCGAGCTTCTGTGGTGGCGTGACAGCCTCCGTTGCGCACCAGTGGACCACTCTGTCGGGGAGCGGCGCCGAGGACGTCAGGGTCATGACCAGGAAGAGCGTCGACGACCCCGGGAGGCCGCCCGGCATCGTCCTCAACGCCGCCACCTCCTTCTGGCTCCCTGTCCCACCCAAGCGCGTCTTCGACTTCCTCCGCGATGAGACCTCTCGCAGCGAGGTACACACATCATCTATCATGAAAATGATCATTGCCAACTTCCTTGAAATTCTATGGTTGATGATGAACACTCATATTTTGGTGTTGGCAGTGGGACATCCTCTCCAATGGCGGCATCGTCCAAGAAATGGCTCACATCGCCAATGGACGCGACCATGGCAACTGCGTCTCACTCCTCCGTGTCAATGTAAGTACAATAGAATCTGATCATGCAATAACCTCATTCGTGTAATAATCGAATTAACCATGGATTTGGCGTGTTTATGTGCAGAGCACCAACTCAAACCAAAGCAACATGCTGATCCTGCAAGAGAGCTGCACGGACGCGTCGGGCTCCTACGTCATCTACGCGCCGGTGGATGTGGTGGCCATGAACGTGGTGCTCAATGGCGGCGACACAGACTACGTCGCACTCCTGCCATCAGGCTTCGCCATCCTGCCCGACGGTCCTGCAGGGACAATGCACGCCGCGGCAGGGGCAACCGGCACCGGTGGGTCGCTCCTGACGGTGGCGTTCCAGATCCTGGTCGACTCCGTCCCCACTGCCAAGCTCTCCCTAGGGTCGGTGGCCACCGTCAACAGCCTCATCGCCTGCACCGTGGAGCGCATCAAGACCGCCGTCATCTCCAATGGCGGCGCCTCACCCCCGCAGTAGCTTCGCTCAATTCATCAATCTTCCTATGTTCTGTATCAGAGGTAAGTCTGAAATCAAAACTTTTCGTAAGAAATGTATGTGTTGGGTTTTATCTGAATTCTCTGAAACATTTTGCACCTGATGCAGGAGCGGCAAAATTTTGGAGCCTTCATTAGTGGGAAGTCAAGAACGCACCTCAGACTCTCCTTGCCATGTGGTGCTCATAGCCACAGATTGTTCCCCGTGAATTCGACCGGGGAAACTCCGCGACTTTCTTCGTTTCATGCAAGAAAACATTTGCGAAAACAAGATGCGGTCACCACTATGCAAGGGCGGTTGGTTCGGGTATTGACTTCCTCTTCGTGTCGGCCTCTCGGATGCTGCTACCTCTGGGTTCCTTTTCTAGGGTTCTTCGTCGAGTACAAAAAACCGTCATTTTCTTCAGTCAGTCTTGTAATTCGTTCGACTTGTCGTTGTTGCTGCTGCTGTTTCAGACTTCCAGTGCTTTGTAGGTGCTGCAGAATAGAGATTTGTGCCCATCTGTCCGTCTGTTGCTTTGGATTGGGTTTATAATTTTGTAGCGCTCCTGGTGATCCGTCGCCATTTCAATCCCAAAATTTGTGTTGTGATCAATGTGGCTTGTGTTTCTTCCCTGCTTCAGTGAAGACAAATGTTAGTTCCTCGAGGCTCAAGGACGAAACCATTTCCTTCCAAATCTCTGCGTACCAATAAGAATTGTAGAATTCAGCAAAGGCTTGGATACTCATTTTTCGTCCTCAATCACAAGATAAAAATCAATTCACATTGAGAAATCTTTCCATTTCCAGATGTGCACCATCAGATATCTTAAATTTACAACACTGCTGCCCTTTCAGTACATACACTGACAAATCATTCCATGTATACAACACTGAGCGTTTCTGAATACTATCCACACCCCCACAAACTGCACAGTTGATCAATACCAGCCAGATCCCGGAAACTACAACAGTTTAGGAACTCATCAGACTAACAGACCAGTACTTCTCGATCGAAGAAGGCGGCACTCGCACTTGAATCATCTTCAGCGGGCTATGATCACCAATGATCTCTGTGCACATGGCGTTTGCAAGAGAATCATTGCATGGATCCATGCTACTCATGACGGTGTTCTCATTCTGCGGGGAGGAGGTCCGCATATGAAAAATCATGAGATGGTGGACCTGCAACACATGTTTTAGTCCAGGGGTTAGGTAGCTCGTGCGTTCTCGTTAAGATCATACCGACAAAATATATTACCGAAAAAGGAGAAATAACACAACATGAAGATCAAGTTACACAGATCATCCTTTCTTTCGGAATAGGTTCTTTTTTTACTTTATTATTCTTGAAGTATACTTCACTTTTACCCCTACAGTTGCATATTTCTGGTTCAAATAACAAGAAATAATGCCTATTCTATTATGGTTTTACCTTTCTGTTCTGCTAAAAGGTAAAACGGAATGTGAGCTACCATCTTGGTTCCTCCTTCGCTCCAGTTCACAATCCCAGGACCATTTCCTTGGGCAGTGGATGGTCCCAGTACAGACAAACAAATGGCTGGTTCATTCATGAGCCCTAAGTAGTCACAGGCGCGCTGCCAGACTCGCCTGTCTGAGGTCCTGGACCGAGCGACCTGCAGGAAAGCAACTAACATACCTCAATCATGCATGATGCCAACATAACAAACTCTTGATAAGTTGATAAATGCACAACCTTAGCCAATGACACACGTGCTCTTGGAAGCAGCTCGTTATGGCAAGTTGCTAGCTTCGCAATGGCAGTCACCACAAAGCATAGGAGCCTAGCTTGGGATGACTTTCTAGAGCTTGCACCCATAGAATCGAACCCTGGGTCTTGACTTAATCCCAAACGACTTGGAAGCAACAGATGGAAGAAGTCAATCATGAGTAATACCATGGAACTCTAGAAACGAGGACGGTTGAACAAGCAGACCAACCTAGTTGCCAGGTTTTCGTATAGTAGCAACTCCAGATTTTCAAATAGTTCACGTGCTACATCTTTGTGCTTTATCCCTCCTGCTCCATGCTCACCAATGGCCCAACACAAATGCAGTGCTAATTCCATCTGCATATGCCAGTCCATCAGAAAAATCGATTATGGTGGAAAGAAGAGAAGTACTTATTAAAGATAACCAGCACAAGAACAGCAAGAGCAGGCAAAGATGCAGCAACTCAGTGAGCATATGAAAGCATCAAAGAAAAAATAATACTGCCTCCGATCCATAATAATTGTCATGGTTCAGATAAACTTGCCTTTGCAGGATTACCATGGGCCTCCCCGAGTCTATCAGTAATAGGCTTCTGCAGAATGGTTCAAGGTTGTTATGTAAAACTGTTTGAAAATACCATAATATTGACATGTATGTATAGTGCAAAAATAAATAGTTACTCCCTTCGTTCAGAATTATAAGATGTTCTAACTTTTTTTCTGAATTGGATGTATACAGACGCATTTAGTGTGTTTGTTCACTCATTTCAGTCTGTATGTAGTCCATATTGAAATATCCAAAACGTCTTATAATTCAGAACAGAGGTGGTACATACTAAGGATCACTCAGTCGGTACCTTTAGTAGGGCAATGATGTCAGGGGAGCGCTGGAATGCAGCCAATAAGAAATCCGACAGCTTTTTCCTCACCTACAAGGATTTTATAACCAGGAAGTTGTTCAGCGTAAACTCAAATATATCAGCAGAACTTAGTACAGGTGTTGTGAGCAAATAACCAAACTTAAATCCACACATGCATATGAACAACATGAGGTAATAAGAAAATTAGCAAACTCAATTTACTTCTTACAGCTGTTCATTCTAAACCACTACTTGTCCATGTACACTACACTTGAGACATTCAAAGCATTTTAAACTTTTCGATAAGCTTTAGAAATTAAAGGTTTGACGAAATGATGGCAGTTCCATATGGATCTATCCTTCAAGTATGTCTCGCGATGTTGCTACTTGATTCTTATTAAAATTAGCTTCATGTCTAAGCAATAACTTCTATTAAATCAAACAACTAAGATATACGAAAGGTAAGACATCCTTGATTTGCTTGTGAGAAGGGACAAAACCTAATCTGGCATACATCTAACTATATTAAGCATCAGTAGCACATAGAAAGGACAAGTAACTGACACGTGATACAAATAAAAAAAGTTTGTCTACCTCGAAAGAAAAATCCTTGTCAGGGAACATCGCAGCATATCTTGACATAACTACTGGAATCAGAGCACACAAGAGTGCTGAACCAACAAACATAGAATGTCAAATCAACATCATGTTGGTCATTAGCATCTGCAGATCAACAAATATATGGAGCTTACAGTTGTTGACGTCCCGCAATGCTGTTGCAAAAAATACAGTAAGAAAGTGAGGTGCCATTTTCAGTGATTGTTTTAATCTGTCAGACTGTGGGCTGTTAAGTGCAGCTTGTAACGTTGAAGATATCGTAGGGGATGTCCAATGTTTTGCCTAGAGGAAACAAAAACAGAATAAAAAGATTATACCTAGGAATATTAGGAAGATAGAGAAACATAAGCCGCAACTTATCGCAAACAAGGAACTACTTACAGCAATGCCATCATTCTCGTCTTTTAGAAGGTCAAGGAACATTGGGTCAGCAAGGTCTAGACGACCACTATCATCAGAACCTGAATTGCCACTTTGATCTTCTATTGAGGAGCCAGTATATGCCTCATCCATCAGTGCAAGGAGCATCTGCAGTATGGAAAAGGATAATAGGATTAAAATATTGGAGCTAGATATTGCACTCATAGCTTTTGGGGACAGATCATTTTGGAAGTAACCTCAGGAGCAGCACTCTTCTGTATAGTAGCTAAACTACTACCGATGAGAGTTCCAGAACTTCTTTCCACCTTTTCCAGTGCTACCACTAACACTGAGTGATATTCCAAGAGTTAATACGGAATAACCGACTCACATAAGAAAAAGTGATTAACAGTGCAGGATAAGCAGTTCTAAAAAAATCATCATAAATAATGCTCATCACGAGATTCGTGCTACTCGCAGAAGAATAAAAATGATAATAGTGCAGGATAAGCAGTTCTAAAAATATACATGATAAATAACGTTCATCACGAGATTCATGCTATATTGTGGTACATGATCTGAATATATTCCAAAGAGATGTGGACAATATACTAGCACACAGAAGAGCACTATAATATCATCATACATTTATCATATTTAACTGAAAAGGCTAATTGACAGCTAAATAATGATAATAACCCCCATGAAAGTTCTGAAAGTACAGAATTGTCAGGCATACTTGGCAGATCCATAAGGGACAGGAAGAGAGGAAGAAAAGATCCTGCTGACATCATCAATGGGAGCACTTCTGAGAACTTCTTATCCAACCTGGAAGAACAGCAAACCAAATTAGGTAGGTAACTGGTCATCAAGATTTTTCTAAAATGGTTGTGTTTCCTGTAGCAACTATCAAGTCATTTGAGGGGGAAAAGCAGAATAGATTTCCTCGGGAATCAAAAGCAAATACATGAGGAGATGCGCCTAGAAATTGAAAGGGCATACCTATCACCATTTGATGCAATCAACTTCAGCAGCAATGGGAAGAACTGCATAGAAACAACATTACAAAAGCAAAATCAGAATCTAGCTGAATGGTTAGTATGTTTGTAAATTAGATAGAGAAACTGGAGTCATATTAGAAACTCAAAGAATGTAAACTGATTGAGATCTTTCATAGCAGTATCGCACCTGCGGAACCAAGGCGGGGAAGCTGTTCAAGATCTTCGTCTTGTTCGCTATCAGGAATTCAAGCGTGCGTTCTGCGACAATAGGGTCTGAAAACTCCCTGTCACCAAGAAAGAAACATTGAGTGATTTTGAGGCTTGTAGAAGCAATCCGACTAAGGCATGCCCAACACAACAAGAAACCAATATGAAAAATATTACCTACTTAAGCAAGAGCGGAAGAAGGTTTTCAAGCTACCATCAGCATCGTGCAAGACCGCCTCCCCAAAGTCCAGGAAGAACTGCAGAATGGTCTGGGTAGGAAACAGTATAATACAGATTATTAGACGATCTTTTATTACGGTCCTAGCTGAACTATTTGCACAAATGAGCAAACATTACAATTATCCAATGTGAATGACTCTTTTCACAATCAATCAGGCAGATAAAATTAATCAACTGCAGAGTAAGTACATTTTCCTTTCTGGGATTAACAGTTAACACTAGATCAAGCTCTCTAACAGCATAGCGATGAAATTGCAATGTACAAGCACGATTCTACCCGAGAAGATCAACCCAAACTTAAAGAGACTTGAACCATTTCCACCAAAATGTAAATACGTACATAATTTGGTCAGTCGAGGCCTCACCAGAAGGAGCACGCCGGTGGAGGCCGTGGAGAGCGTGGGCGCGGCGGCGCAGCGCTGGAAGAGCTTGTTCATCACGGGAAACGCCCGCGCCACCATCTCGTCGTTGGCCCCCTTGGCCTCCTTGCACATCTCGAACACCATCCGCACCTTCAACGCGAAGGGCAACACAGGTAACAATCCGGCTACAGCACGGGTCAGGGGAAGAAGAAGGGGATCGGAGGGAGATGCGCGCGCTTACGGACTGGAGGAGGTTGGGGTCGGAGGCGGGATCGGCGGCCGCGGCGGAGTCCCGTGATGCGGCGGAGAGCGAGCGTAGGTGGAAGTCGTAGCTGCCGTCGCCGGCGGCGAGCTTCGGCGAGGCCATCGCCGTCGCCCTCGTCGTGTCTGCCTCTGGCGAGTGGGTGAGAGACCGAGAGGGTTTGGGCTTCGAGCAAGAGCCCAAATTGATTGTCTAGGCCAGTGTTTTGTTAAATCTGCGTGCTGAAAGGCCCTGATCTAAATTGATGCACGATAAAATCTCAATGCAAGCACCTCAGGAACATTTTCTTAAGTTGCGCCTTTTTTCGGTTTAAGAGGTAATACTTCATCAAGTTCTACTTTTCTCCCACTTACTTTTTTCGAGAGAAACTCCTTCTCTAGAAATGATCCATTCTTGGCAACAAAGATCTTGCCTTCGGATCTGAGGTAGAAGGTATACCCAATAGTTTCTTTAGGGTATCCTATGAAGACGCATTTTTCCGACTTGGGTTCGAGCATTTCAGGTTGAAGTTTCTTGACATAAGCATCGCATCCCCAAACTTTTAGAAACGACAGCTTAGGTTTCTTCCCAAACCATAATTCATACGATATCGTCTCAATGGATTTCGACGGAGCCCTATTTAAAGTGAATGCGTCAGTCTCTAAAGCATAGCCCCAAAAAGATAGCGGTAAATCGGTAAGAGACATCATATATCGCACCATATCTAATAGAGTGCGATTACGACGTTTGGACACACCATTTCGCTGAGGTGTTCCAGGCGGCGTGAGCTGTGAAACTATTTCACATTTTTTTAAGTGTGTGCCAAACTCATGACTCAAGTATTCTCCTCCACGATCTGATCGCAGGAACTTGATTTTCCTGTCACGTTGATTCTCAACCTTACTCTGAAATTCTTTGAACTTTTCAAAGGTCTCAGACTTGTATTTCATTAAGTAGACATACCCATATCTACTCAAGTCATCAGTGGGGATGAGAACATAACGATAGCCACTGCGAGCCTCAACACTCATTGGACCGCACACATCAGTATGTATGATTTCCAATAAGTTGGTTGCTCGCTCCATCGTTCCTGAGAACGGAGTCTTGGTCATTTTACCCATGAGGCATGGTTCACACGTGTTAAATGATTCGTAATCAAGAGACTTTAGAAGTCCATCAGCATGGAGCTTCTTCATGCGTTTGACACCTATGTGACCAAGGCGGCAGTGCCACAAGTATGTGGGACTATCATTATCAATCTTACATCTTTTGGTACTCACACTATGAACATGTGTAGCATTACGCTCGAGATTCATTAAGAATAAACCATTTACCATCGGAGCATGACCATAAAACATATCTCTCATATAAATAGAACAACCATTATTCTCGGATTTAAATGAGTAGCCATCTCGTATTAAACGAGATCCTGATACAATGTTCATGCTTAAACTTGGCACTAAATAACAATTATTAAGGTTCAAAACTAATCCCGTAGGTAAATGTAGAGGTAGCGTGCCGACGGCGATCACATCGACCTTGGAACCATTCCCGACGCGCATCGTCACCTCGTCCTTCGCCAGTCTCCGCTTATTCCGCAGCTCCTGCTTTGAGTTACAAATGTGAGCAACTGCACCGGTATCAAATACCCAGGAGCTACTACGAGTACTGGTAAGGTACACATCAATTACATGTATATCACATATACCTTTCGTTTTGCTGGCCTTCTTGTTCGCTAAGTATTTGGGGCAGTTCCGCTTCCAGTGACCACTTTCCTTGCAATAAAAGCACTCAGTCTCAGGCTTGGGTCCATTCTTTGGCTTCTTCACGGCAGCTTGCTTGCCGGGCGTGGCAACTCCCTTGCCGTCCTTCTTGAAGGTTTTCTTACCCTTGCCTTTCTTGAACTTAGTGGTTTTATTCACCATCAACACTTGATGTTCCTTTTTGACTTCTACCTCTGCTGATTTCAGCATTGCAAATACTTCAAGAATGGTCTTTTCCATCCCCTGCATATTGAAGTTCATCACAAAGCTCTTGTAGCTCGGTGGAAGCGGCTGAAGGATTCTGTCAATGACCGCGTCATCCGGGAGATTAACTCCCAGCTGAGTCAAGCGGTTATGCAATCCAGACATAGTGAGTATGTGCTCACTGACAAAACTGTTTTCCTCCATCTTACAGCTGAAGAACTTGTCGGAGACTTGATATCTCTCGACCCGGGCATGAGCTTGGAAAACCATTTTCAGCTCTTCGAACATCTCATATGCTCCGTGTCTCTCAAAATGCTTTTGGAGCCCCGGCTCTAAGCTGTAAAGCATGCCGCACTGAACGAGGGAGTAGTCATCGGTACGTGCCTGCCAAGCGTTCATAACGTCTTGTTCTGCAGGGAGAACAGGTGCGTCACCCAGCGGTGCTTGTAGGACATAATCTTTCTTGGCAGCTATGAGGATGATCCTCAGGTTCCGGACCCAGTCCGTGTAGTTGCTGCCATCGTCTTTCAGCTTGGTTTTCTCTAGGAACGCGTTGAAGTTGAGGACTACGTTGGCCATTTGATCTACAAGACATATTGTAAAGATTTTAGACTAAGTTCATGATAATTAAGTTCATCTAATCAAATTATTCAATGAACTCCCACTTAGATAGACATCCCTCTGTAATCTAAGTATAACATGATCCGAGTTAACTAGGCCGTGTCCGATCATCACGTGAGACGGACTAGTCAACATCGGTGAACATCTTCATGTTGATCGTATCTTCTATACGACTCATGCTCGACCTTTCGGTCTTCTGTGTTCCGAGGCCATGTCTGTACATGCTAGGCTCGTCAAGTCAACCTAAGTGTTTGCATGTGTAAATCTGTCTTACACCCGTTGTATATGAACGTTGGAATCTATCACACCCGATCATCACGTGGTGCTTCGAAACAACGAACTGTCGCAACGGTGCACAGTTAGGGGGAACACTTTCTTGAAATTATTATGAGGGATCATCTTATTTACTACCGTCGTTCTAAGCAAACAAGATGCAAAAACATGATAAACATCACATGCAATCAAATAATAATAGTGACATGATATGGCCAATATCACATAGCTCCTTTGATCTCCATCTTGGGGCTCCATGATCATCTTGTCACCGGCATGACACCATGATCTCCATCATCATGATCTCCATCATCGTGTCTCCATGAAGTTGCTCGCCAACTATTACTTCTACTACTAAGGCTAACGCGTTTAGAAATAAAGTAAAGTAATTTACATGGCGTTTCTCAATGACACGCAGGTCATACAAAAAATAAAGACAACTCCTATGGCTCCTGCCGGTTGTCATACTCATCGACATGCAAGTCGTGATTCCTATTACAATAGCATGAACATCTCATACATCACATATATATCATTCATCATTCATCACAACTTTGGCCATATCACATCATAGAACACTTGCTGCAAAAACAAGTTAGACGTCCTCTAATTGTTGTTGCAAGTTTTACGTGGCTGAAGTAGGATTCTAGCAAGAACGTTTTCTTACCTACGTGAAAGCCACAACATGATTTGTCAACTTCTATTTACCCTTCATAAGGACCATTTTCATCGAATCCGCTCCAACTAAAGTGGGAGAGACAGACACCCGCCAGCCACCTTATGCAACTTGTGCATGTTAGTTGGTGGAACCGGTCTCACGTAAGCGTACGTGTAAGGTTGGTCCGGGCCGCTTCATCCCACAATACCGCTGAAGCAAGATAAGACTAGTAGCGGCAAGAAAGTTGACAACATCAACGCCCACAACAAATTGTGTTCTACTCGTGCAAGAGAACTACGCATAGACCTAGCTCGTGATGCCACTGTTGGGGAACGTTGCAGAAAACAAAAATTTTCCTACGGTTTCACCAAGATCCATCTAGGAGTTCATCTAGCAACGAGTGATTGGATTGCATCTACATACCTTTGTAGATCACGCGCGGAAGCGTTCAAAGAACGGGGATGAGGAAGGCGTACTCGACGTGATCCAAATCACCGGAGATCCTAGCGCCGAACGGACGGCACCTCCGCGTTCAACACACGTACGGTCAGCGTGACGTCTCCTCCTTCTTGATCCAGCAAGGGGAAAGGAGAGGTTGAGGAAGATGGCTCCAGCAGCAGCACGACGGCGTGGTGGTGGTGGAGCTGCAGTACTCCGGCAGGGCTTCGCCAAGCACTATGGAGGAGGAGGATGTGTTGGAGAGGGAGAGGGAGGCACCAAAGGCGTGGTGTGAGAGGCCCTCCTTCCCCCACTATATATAGAGAGCCTAGGGGGCGCCGGCCCTAGGAATCTCCTAGGGCGGGGGGCGGCGGCCAAGGGAGGAATCCCTCCTCCCCAAGGCACCTAGGAGGTGCCTTCCCCCTTTGGGACTCTTCCCTTATCTCTTGGCGCATGGGCCTCTTGGGGCTGGTGCCCTTGGCCCATATGGGCCAAGGCGCACCCCCCACAGCCCATGTGCCCCCCCGGGGCAGGTGGCCCCACCCGGTGGACCCCCGGGACCCTTCCGGTGGTCCCGGTACAATACCGGTGACCCCGAAACTTGTCCCGATGGCCGAAATAGCACTTCCTATATATAATTCTTTACCTCCGGACCGTTTCGGAACTCCTCGTGACGTCCGGGATCTCATCCAGGACTCCTAACAACATTCGGGTTACTGCATATACATATCCCTACAACCCTAGCGTCACTGAACCTTAAGTGTGTAGACCCTACGGGTTCGGGAGACATGTAGACATGACCGAGATCGCTCTCCGGTCAATAACCAACAGCGGGATCTGGATACCCATGTTGGCTCCCACATGTTCCTCGATGATCTCATCGGATGAACCACGATGTCGAGGATTCAAGCAATCACGTATACAATTCCCTTCGTCAATTGGTATGTTACTTGGCCGAGATTCGATCGTCGGTATCCCAATACCTCGTTCAATCTCGTTACCGGCAAGTCACTTTACTCGTACCGTAATGCATGATCCCGTTACCAGACACTTTGTCACTTTGAGCTCATTATGATGATGCATTACCGAGTGGGCCCAGTGATACCTCTCCATCATATGGAGTGACAAATCCCAATCTTGATCCGTGTCAACCCAACAGTCACTTTCGG